GGTTTTTTTTTTTAAAGGATAAATCCATGTATATTTATATTGTAGCCCGTGTTCAAACTCAAAACTAGATCCGCCAAATATCAGTGACCACCGGTGGATTAAGAATTACAAACCTCACTAAAATCTTTGGAAGATGACATAAGGACCATATTTGCAGCTTCCCATCCAAATGCAGCATGTCGTGCTTTGTTTAGTAAGTGACATGTATATTCAGAATTAAACCTCATCAGGTAGCGCAAAGCCTGAAAAAGACGTTAATTATATCAGGCAAAGATCCGAAAAAACTATTAACTTGAAATTTTTATATTTAATTAAGGTAGAATTCCCATTCAAACACATTATTGAAAAATGACTTATGGAGGCCATGAAGACGGAAACAAAGAGAAGTTCATAATTTTGGTGAGCTGCAAATTGGATGATGCAGATGAAAATTAGTACGAGAAGAAAATTATATATATGCTCAAGAGTAAAGCAGCAACAGTTGAGCCTCCTAAACCATGTAAATATTCGATACTTCTGCCTTTGAAGTAAACAAGATGGAATCACATGATTATTTCTACACTAAATATACCTGTGCTCGCCACCACCGATGGTCCATTTTGCGATGATGAGCAATGAGACTCCCATTTATCTCTGTAGTTGGCTGCATGATACTCCAAGGATTTCCCCATATCCTGAAGTGCAAAATTGATATGTTTCGCTTTTTAAGATGGTAAACTTTGTGATTAGAAGAAATGGAGGTAGAGGAGAGGGTATGATAATATGCATAACATTTTACCTAGGAACGCGTCCAGTCCATATTACTTTTGTAGTATAATTGCCTTTCCTTGTTATAATCCCCTTTTCCCAGGCTTCTTTTTCTTTCATTAGCTCAAATGCACGATTCCTACATTCCTGGGATGTTTCAGGAAAGAAATAACAAGACCAACTAGAGCGTGATGAACCTGTAGAAAAATGACTGAATTTTTCATCAACCATGAAATAAGGTGAAGTATTGTAACCACGAAAATGTAGTTTGACAAAGTAAGAATTCGATTTTGTTCTACATGGTGAATCTTCCACAATTTTCAAGACTTAACTCAGATATTGTCAATGTAATCTTGTAATTTGATCTCATGCTAATCAGCGATTATGGAGCTTATCTTAACATTAGGATTGACAACTTTAATAATATCATAGTGTGCAAGACTACAAATAACTAGGAAGAGAATGTTCATAGAAGAAGATGGAGGCACAACTCATTAGGTTTTCTTATTAGTAAATAATGCTGACTGTACAAGGTTAGCACCTACACAAAACATTAAGAACATGTTTGGAGTGTAGTACTGAAAAGTGATAAACACAAAAAACAAAATATATTATAGAACTTTAGAAATTGTCAATCATATATGTCAACTCCTCAGGTTTTACCTTTACAGCCATCATGGTCAGCTCTGTTATAGTAGCCCGTGACAAGAACCCTTTTCTCGTTAATTGCAATAGCAAGAAGACCGCACATTGCGGCAACTTGTGCTCCAATACCAAATCCAGGCAATCTCTCCCAGTCGGCAACTAGAAACCTTACACTAGGATCACTGCAGTTCACTGGATGCTGATGAAGCCATATATCACGTTGCACTTTCCTGGTAAGTGGGTAGTTTTCTTCATCAGATCCCGTGATCTGTAAAGATCCATAGATTAGTAACAAATGCCAGGATTAATGCAAGTATTAGTTGAGATAATACTATAATAGGGTCTAAATGTAGTTTAGATGACTTTCTGTACTTTAATTACCAAGAACAAGTGGACACTTAGTTACATGAATATGAAGAAATCAGTTGAACATTCAGTCAACTGTCAAAGTTTGCCTTGTACTTTAACAAGAATGAGTTACAATGATCCTACCTTAGGCGGATTCCAAGAAGAAAAGTGATTGTATTTATCTGACAACAAAGGCAAATCAACCCCTATTTTTCTGCCTTCTTTTTCTTTCTCTTTATTATTCTTGAAAAGATCCGTACAAAGTTTTTCCCTCAAACTCCCAATTTGCTTGAGCTCCCTCTGTCTCACATCCGCAGTAGATCACATACACGTACACTTTCATGTAAATATTTTTTTCTCTTTCTTCCACCACACAGTAGGGAGGAGCACGCACTCCCTTTCCCCATGTCTCCTCCACATAAGACTCACAATTCCACAACTCTTAAGGCACAATTAGATCTTAATTGCTACAACCGATCATGCAGAACGAAGTTCTTTGAGCTAACCGATAAACAATTTCATCATAAACATCTAGGCTGCATGCTACTATTCAAGCAAACAATGGATCATTCTTTCTTTGGAAGATATATCCCTACCAAATTATCTAAGATTTGTCAAGTCAATCTTCAAACGACAATTAGAAAACGTGATGATACTTACCCAAGGAGGATAAGATCCTTCAGATATCATCTGATCCCTGTAGTTCTTCAGCTGATCATCAGTTATAGACAGTGGGAAGTCATCCAACTGTCCTTTCCAAATTGTCCAAGGCGGGAAAGACTCATTTTGAAGTCGCCTATCAAGACGTTGGTTTACTTCTGCACTCAACTTGCAGTTCTCCAAGTGAGGGGCTTTTGGTACATTGGATTTTCTCAAAATGGTCCACTGGGAGAATTGACCATTCTCATCTATTGATTTACCAAGTAAATCACTCCATGCAGAATATAGTGAAGACACTTTCTCGTCCGTTCCAGGGCTAGTACTTTCCCGTGAACGCATAATTATCTCTCTTTCTCTACGTATCACATTAATATCTCCACCTGTAACATCTACCACATAACAAAGTAATGCATTATTTGTTAATCCACCCAACAGTGATTGAAGTACTCGTAGTCAAATCTGAAAGTTGTGGAACAGATTGGCCTCAGGTTCTCATATCCCAACAAAATTAATTTAAAAATCAAAAAAGGAGAAAACTATTAAGGATTTAAGGAGCCCGAAGGAGATTCTAAGGACTAACAGTAAACAAACTAAATACGTTGTAGCAAGCAGAAATTTCAAAGGTTTGCTACTAAACAGTAGAAATCTATATAATGGTTATCTTTTGTTCACATATTTTCAAAATTGTCAGTTTTCATGCTCTGTCTCTGGACCACTACTGACTAAAATTTACTGTTCTTCCAATATTGTAATTCCTAAATTCTTATCATGACCATATAAGAAAGCCAAGTGTTACCCATCATTCTAGAACACATTAGTAACTAACACAACTTGAAAAAATGGCCATCAACTTCACGTCAACAAGAAATTGGGAGTTACTTGCACAGAAAGGATGCCATTGGATAAAGTGAATTGATTATCATGAAATTGTCTTAAGTCCAAAGCATTGATTCCCACTTTAAGTTACTTCAGATTCACATTTAAGAAACATTCCTGGGTACTTTTGACTGTAGCCCATGGGATGAATTTAGACAACCTCAAATAACTCATGAAATTCAAATACTTTTTATCACATGAATGTTATAACAAGTAGCAAGCGATAATTTAATACAAATCAACATAGTACTCCAAATTTCAGTCCAAAATAAAAAATAAAAAATAAATTGCCCTAAACAAGAACAATAATAGCAGCAAAAATAAAAATAAAAAATAAAATAAAATAAATTCAAACAGAAGAGATAAGCAGAAAATTGAGCTTACTGATAGCTGCTGGGCTCGAATTCAAAGGGGGAATTTCAGTCGAAAATGTTGAAAATGAAATACCAACAAAGGCAGAAGCACCAAATGAAGTGAGAGCAGCCAGAAACAATGAGGTAAGGCAAACCCCACAAAGAAAACCCACCACACATAATTGGCATGGGAATGAACTGCCCATCTGAAAAGCTCTCTGTGAAACCACTCTCTCAAGAGATTTTGGATTCAAAGGCTCCATCTCTTTTCCACAAATGATCATATGTTCAATTTCAAGAACGGAGACCTTTCAAAGAAAGGAAAAAAATCTCATGTGCCCAACTAACTCTAATTGCAATCACATGTACCTACTTTCAACTTTTCTTTTTTCTCCATAACAACTCCCATTTCATGTTTCAATTATAAAATTGCCATTAACAGTGATTAATTAGCTTGAATTGTTGTGTGGGTTGTAATCCAAAATTAAAAACTTGTATAATCACAAGTCACTGAACTGCCCCTGTTCTACCTGCAATAAAAGCGAAACACTATCAGTTCTCTAAGATAACATGAAAATAGAAAAAAAGAACATACAAGAAAAATCACTGAAGATGCAAAAATAATAAGAGGATAAAAGAAGATAAGTACCCAGAAAAAAAAAAAAGTGAAAAAAAATAAAGAACAAAAAATGTGCAGCTAGAAACGAGAAAGACAAAAGAGTCACAGTCATGGCGGACTCACTAATAATAGTCACGGACGACAAAGAAAATGAACAAGAATCAAGAGTATCAAGAAAGAGGGAGAAACCATGCACAGAGACGCATCACACTCATTTTTACTTTTCTAATCGAATAATTTCAGTACAAACAAGAAAAGAAAGGAACCCAAAAAAGCAATCGATCCCGCGCAGAACCAAAAATAAAGAGAGATGTGTTTCAGAAAATCCCAGAGGAGTTTCACGCTTTTTCTTGCTTATTTCCAGCAAAATACAGAAAAGAAACAGAATCAAAATTGTGAGAGGGCACTGGGAAGATACCCATAAATTTTTCGAGATGACAAATCATCTGAGCATTCATTCACAATTACAGAGAAATATGATTTTTTTTGGGAATTTTCAATTTTTTGTGTCTGGTTAAGTGCTACTACTTACAAGAACAGTATGTCTGTATTTGGTGCAGGTAGAATATACTCTGTGGTCCAACCCAACTCCCATCATCATCATTATGAGCTGTTTTTTCTTTCTTGTAAAATATATGTTGATCTCATGATCATCATAGCTTTTTTTAATTCATTAAAAATGAAAACACATAAACTAGTGGGAATTTGCTAATCTGATTCTGGGCTGAATGTTATTGTTAAAAGCTGACCAGAAAATAGGTTACAACCCCATTATTAAGAGTTTACGTGCAAGTATAGTAAAGGTTATGTATGATTGACTTCCATTTGGTTGTCATTATTATCATTTTCAACAGAAAGATATCGTCTTGTACTACTGAGAAATAGCAATTTAACTGTTTCACAACTGAATAGCAATTTATCCTATATTGTGAGTTATCCAATCTCTCATTAGATAGGGCTGTTTATTATTATTATTATTACATTTTTTTTAAGAATTGAGTAATGGAATTATCTGTAATCACCGATAGTAATAAATAAAATATTTTCATTGTAATTATTGTCATTGACTCATTAAGAACAAGTCAAAAATATTACGTATCACATGTTAAATTTAACTTACTTTAAAAAAAAATATTTGACTAAACTTTAGAGTTTTTCGAGCAAGGCTGATGTATAAAATCTTGAAAATTAAATTTAAATGTATTAGTAACTTAAATTTTTAACAAGGTCCTATTACACGTATATATAAAAAATATTTGCTTCATGAGAATCATTTTTCAATGTTTAATATTTTATTTATTTATTTGTATCCTCTGAAAATTTCTTGTAAGAAGAGTAAAAGCAAAAGCAAACTCTCAAATTATAGAATTCTTTCCAAATTAACGCCAAATTAATAAACTATCTCTAACTTGTAATAAATTAGTTCAAGATAAAAAGCAAAGTTCACCATAATTTATTTAACATAATATTAAAGATAAAGTTAATTTTGCTTGAAGCAGAAGACTTGAAAGTAGTTGAAATTTTGTATTTAAAGAAAGTAATTTTAAAAATTATAAATAAATAACTTATAGTACGATTTTTAAATATCAAGTATCTCTCCCTCTTGCAATTATTATAACATAATTCAAAAGATAATTTATTGGGAACATTGCATCTTTTAAGTTTAAAATAGTTAAAGGGTTGGAGAAAATGCCAAAAAGAAGTGAAAGGAAAAGTAAAAAGTGGGGTCTGTAATTCAACGAAAAGTAGGGTCACTAATTCATCCGTAAGATAAACTTACGAGGAAGCAATGGTCCCAATGTCCCTTTGATATGTTTTGCTTTTTTTTACTTTTTGTAAAAGAGTTTCTTGAATAAATTATCTAACCCTTGTTTGGTTCCCATTTTTTTCTCATTAAAATAAAAAATATAACCGTTATTCATTACATCAAGCCACTAAATTTGAATTTTTATCTCTTGTGTGGGGCCCTTAACGACTATATTTTTCATTCTCATTCTTCCAAAAATGATAAATAAACGGGGGACTATTTCTGTTTGAAAACTAAAAAGAGTTTTATATTCAAAAGTGCTTTGAAAGAAAGTACATTATCCCAGTTTTCTCTAAAAGTTTTTGATAAAATTAGCCAACGAATTCAAAAACAACTTTTAAATCTTAAAAGGTTTTTTTAACTTTTCAAAAGTCATATGAAGCATGTTCTAAGAGCCGTTTGGAAGTATTTTTTTACCCAAAAAATTGATTTTTTGATCGTTATTTCATTATTCTAGCCATCATTTTTTACTTCTTCTTTCATATGTGACCCCTACTTTCTCCTAGCAGTCAAAAAATCAATTCTTAAAATTTCTACCAAATAGGGCCCACGTAAACAAAAGTGAAAATTACATATCCATCCATATGTTTTAAGATCCAACTTAAAAAATCATATCCAAAGTTTTTTTATTCAAAAATAAAGTATAATTAAAATTCTAAATAATAATAATAATAATATTATAAAAATTATTATACATATCCACCCATAGCCATCTACACTATCAAACCCTAATTATTTTTCAATCTCTTCTTTCTCTCTCTATATGGCTTCGGTCGCTCTTTTTCTTTCCCAATCTCCTCTTTCTCTTTCTCTATACAGTGGCCGAGTGATGGCAACGAGCGTGACTGGAGAGACGACGATGAGTGTTGTGTACAGAGCAATAGCTATAAGCGTAGCTCAGCCAGTGTACAACGATGGCTATGCTACGTGCACTCTTATTGAAGCGGCTATAGATGGTGTTGTTTCCTGTGTGAGACCAAGTGAGCATCACGCCATCGCAAGTGAGATCACCACTGGTTCAGCTCACTAACTCTTGCCTCTTGTTCCTTTCCTAATTCAGCCCCACAGTATGTTGTGGTTGAGATTTACTGTGCGACATGGTTGGGATTACAGCTCTGCAATCTGTGTTGGTTTTCTTAGTTGTGTTTTCAATTGGTGGTAGAGGTGGCAATGGGCTCGGCCTTTAAACACATGACCTCGTGGCTCATTAATAATGAGCCGAGCCCACGAGCTCAAATTTTTTTTTGGGAAAATTTTCAACCTTTTCTTCACATTTTTAATGGGATCGTGAACTTTTTGCTCATGGACCATGCCCACGAGCCTTTCATGAGCTTGACGAGCCAAGCCTCGGCTCATTAGATCCCACCCTGCTCGGCTCGTGCTCCTGTTCGTCATTTGATGAGCTTAAGCCACCTACGAGCCTAGTGATCGAGTCGCTCGGCCCATTTGACATCCTTAGTTGGTGGGTAGAGGGCTAATTGACACGCCCCACTCCGATTAACACTAGTGGGACCAAAACGTGACGTGTATCGATGATAGTTAACAATTATAAGTCGAACCCATCATTAAGGCTACTACAACTACAATATGCAACTTTTTATAAATTACTTTTAATACAAGTTTGACATTATCTCCCCTGTAAATATGATTAACCGACTTGTAATTCACAATGCACAAACCTCAAAATATAACACAACACAATATAAATAAGTTGAAATCTCCATTTTTACTATGAAAATAACATGAAAAATACATATGGATACAAAATATATAATGAGTCTCATAATTAGAGGTGGCAATGGGGCCGAACCCCTTAAACCCACGAGCTCGGCTCATGAGATGAGCTCATGGCTTGTTAATAACGAGCCAAGCTTAAGGGGCGAGCTCTTCTGTTCACGAGCTCAATTTTTTTATTATTTTTTTTATGAAAATTTTCAAACTTTTTCTTCACACTCTTTACAAACCTGCGAGCCGAGCTTGTGAACTTTTCTCGTGGGAGTGCCCACGAGTCGCTCACGTGCTTGACGAGCTGAGCAACTGCCCACAAGCTCGACGAGTTGAGCGTTGCTTGGCTCGTGCTCAGGCTCCTCATTTGACGATCCCGAGCTGCCCACGAGCCAATAAGCTACTCAGCCGTTTGACATCCCTACCCATAATCGTCTACAAATGATGTGAAATCACATCTAAACATGAATATACATCTCGAAACATTGACTACATGTTCTATGAAGTGAGTTGTACTAGCAAACTCTATCATGTGGCTTTGACTTCAAAAATCAGAGCCTCAACTCAATAAGTGCCCAAGAACTCAACTGCTACTTGATAAGAAAATATATGAGCTGATAACTCAGTGAGTTAAGAAATTCGAAAATAATTGTACTTTCTCATTTATACATTTTTATCTAAAGTCGAGTTTATATTATTTAATAGTTCACAAGAGAACATCATATAATTATAGTGAGGAAGCGAAACTTCCTCATAATGCTATAAAATATCATCTCAAAGTCATGATATAAACATCAGTTGATAACCATACAATAATCTCATCACATCAAATGCACTGAAAAATTCACCAAAAATATGCCTCTGGCCGAACTTTGTAATCTAGTCATACGCATATAGACCGTCCCTCGAGTTAAGCACTCTCAACACGGGCCTCAAGCCCCCCAGTGAACAGAAGTCGATCTCAATGACCTTTTATAATCAATTCTAGAATACGGTCAAGGTCCATCAGAACTATATGTATATAATCAAGACCACTTCATCCCTAGTCAAGATCTCTCAGTGTAGTATAGAATACGGCTAAGGCTCCTCGGTAAACTAGAAAAAAGTAGATAATCATGGGTACTTTTTGGTCGATCTCAATATCGCAAATGTCTTACATACCATATACAGTCTTTGAAATTCCACAAGTATCACAGTAGAAAATATATAAAATTTGCCACTCACGAAACTATGTACGCAAAATCAACTTAGCTGGTAAACTATCCCAATATCTGTATTGCCACCCGAAATATGATATATTTTTTAGATTAACAATTAACTATTTTAAGTAATTTCAATAATTAAATTGGTGATACTAAATTATAATCTTTTTATACTTCCAAATTTCTTTAATCGCTTAAGCTATTTTTCCTTCCCTTTAACTTAATTTCACAGCTTATTATACTTAATTTAATAAATCTCTTTCAATAAAATTGAATTTAAACTAATAGTTTAACAACTATAAAACTTAACATAACTTTTTAATAAGTAAGTTTTTACTTATCTTTCGAAACTAAGGAACTCAAACTTAATAGTATAAATAACTTATTTTCTAATGATTTGACGAATTTTTCATTTTTTTCTTCCTCTCTTTTTTTCTTTCTTTCCTCTTTTCTTTGTCATTTCTCCCTGCTCTCATTTTTCTTCTATGTGATGTGTGTGTTTGTGTGGGAATGGATGATTATAGCAAATGAATTGGATAATATACGTCCAATCCACCGTCCGCCAATTTTTTTTTTTATTTCATTTCATTTTTTTTGCATGACATATATTGACTAGAAGTTGGGTTTGACTTCATTTTTTTTTTCATTTTGTTATTTTACTCTATGGTGGCAGAGGTGCTCGTGGTAGTAGTGATTGGGTGTCGATGGCTTTGTTGAATCTAGTTGTGATGGAGATTATGTTAGATCTGGTGGTGGCCGTGGTTTTATTGGTGGTGATGATGGTGGATTTGGTTGTTTTGAAGTTGAAAACTATGGTTTGTTGGTGGTGGCAGTGTTGATTTGCTTGAAATGGTGATGTTGCTGTGAGGAGATGGTGGTGGTTCTAGTGGCGGTGCTACTGGAGGCAATGGTAACATGATGGTTACAATTTATTTGGTTGACGTGATAATTAAATTGGTTAATCTGTGACCAAAGAAAAAGATAAACGTGACAAAA